AGCCCCACTGATGGACAGATTCCAAGGCAGTGGGAAGTGGGTTTCAGATTATTCACACACCTGTCGGCAAATATCAGGACCTGCAGATAGATTTTGAATCACAGATCTCCCCTTAAGTAAATCTCAAAACTGCAAAAAGGGCCACCCCCAACCTACAGTGCAACTCCAGAATTGAACAAAGTAAGAGGGCATACATAAAAAAGAATAGGAGATTGAACAAACAGAAGTAAGAGCAATCCCTCTACCCCTGAATAACAGAATTAAAGAAGACAGTGACATGGAGGGAAGGAAAAAGTAGGGAGGGGGAAAAAACTGCACAAATGAAGAAAAACACAGACCCCTGGGAGATCAGACACTGAGAAAACAGATTCTGGAACACAAATAATGAAGAGCCCACAGAATGACTGGTCACATGCAACAAACTCAGAAATCAAGACATTAATAGAGAGAATTAAAAAAATTGAGGAGAGAAGAGGAAAATAGGAAGGAGCTGACGTCAGAAATAACAGCAGTAAAGAATACTGTGATGGAAATAAATAACAAACTAATGAGCATGGAAAGCAGACTTAGCCAAGCAGAAGAAAGAATCTCAGAGCTCAAAGACCAAAATGCAGAACTAACCGAAACTGTCAAAAGCATAGAAAAGAAGCTCAAAATGACAGAACAAAACCTTCAAGAGATGAATGATCACTTCAAGAGAACAAACCTAAGAGTAATTGGCCTTTCTGAGGCAGAGAGAGAAACAGAGGCCACACTGGAACAAACATTTCATACAATCATTGAAGAAAACATCCCTCATCTCATTAATGATGAAAAAATTCAAACACAAGAGATTCAGAGAACCCCTGCAAGACAACAAATGAGAAGACCAACTCCCAGACACATAATAATTCACCTAAACAAAGAAGGTACATAGAAAAAATCCTAAAGGCTATAAGAGAAAAAGGTCAGACTACCTACCAGGGAAGACCAATTAGAATAGCAGCAGATTTATCTACAGAAACCCTCCAGGCTAGGAGAGCTTGGAGCCCTATCTTCAAAATTCTAAAAGATAAACAATTTTAATCAAGAATAACCTACCCAGCCAAGCTAAGCTTCATCAGTGAGGGAGAATTGAAATCTTTCCCAGATATCCAATCCTAAGAACCTACGCTGTGGCCAGATCACCTCTACAAGAAACACTTAAAAGTATTGAATACAGAAGAAAAAGAAAAAAGAGCAACAACATTCTTCACAAGAGTACAGGCAAAAGAATAAAAACACACATGATCCAACTCAAAAAACCAAAGGAAAGACAACACACAAACAGGAAGAACAACAACTCTGTAAGAACATTATAATAGGGATCAACTCTCACATTTCAATAATTAGTTTGAATGTGAACAAACTAAATGCACCACTGAAAAGACATAGAATGGCAAAATGGATAAAATATGACCAGGCAACAATCTATTGCCTTCAAGAGACTCACCTCATTAGAAAGGACACTCACAGACTCAAAGTAAGAGGATGGGAAACAAATTTTCAGGTGAAAGGAACACAAAAGAAAGGAGGAGTCACAATCTTAATCTCAGACAAAATACCCTCTAAGCTATCAAAATTAAAAAAGATACAGAAGGCTACTACATAATGATAAAAGGTTCAATCCATCAACAAGAAATATCCATCGTAAACATATGCACCGAACATAGGAGCACCAACTTTCATAAAGCAGATCCTAGATAAACTAAAAAAAGACATAGACTCCAATACCATCATACCTGGGGACTTTAATGCCCCACTCACAACCGTAGACAGATCATCAGGACAAAAAATCAGCAAGGAGATCCAGAACCTCAGTGTCACTCTTAATCAAATGGAATTAATTAATTGATACCTACAGAACCCTCCATCCAAAGATCACAGAATACACATTCTACTCATCACCGCATGGAACATACGCTAAGATCGACCACATACTTGGCCATAAATAAAGCATAAGCAAATTTAAAAGGACCGAAATTTTAGCATGAACCTTCTTGGACCACAATGGAATAAAAATAATCATTAACCCCAACAACGTCCCCCCAAAACCCACAAAGACATGGACACTAAACAGCATGAGACTTTCTGTCATCACACAGCCTGCCTAGGTTGAAACAAGAAGAAATCGAGACCCTAAGTAGACCAATAACAATCAAGGAAATTGACTACATAATAAGAAAACTACCTACAAAAAACAGTCCTGGATTAGATGGCTTTCCAGCAGAATTCTACAAGACATTTAAGGAGGAGCTGATACCAATCCTACTAAAGGTATTCCAGGCGATTGAGAAAGACAGAACTGTCCCCAAATCATTTTACGAAGCTAACATCACATTGATACCCAAGTCAGGTAAAGACCCAACAAAGAAAGAGAACTACAGGCCAATATCTTTGATGATCATAGATGCTAAAATTCTCAACAAGATCCTAGCGAACCGGATTCAACAACACATCTCAAAAATCATCCATCATGACCAAGTAGGCTTCATCCCTGGGATGCAAGGCTGGTTCAACATTCGTAAAACCATAAATGTAATGAAATACATCAACAGATGTCAAAACAAAAACCACATGATTATATCATTAGATGCAGAAAAAGCTTTTAATAAAATCCAGCAGTCCTTCCAAACATCTAGGCATACAGGGAACATACCTCAAAATAGTAAAAGCCATCTACGAGAAACCCATAGCCAGCACATTCCTAAACGGACAAAAACTGGAACCATTTCCCTAAAAACTGGAACAAGATAAGGATGCCCACTCTCACCCCTCCTGTTCAATATAGTATTGGAAAGTCCTAGCTAGAGCAATCAGAGAAGAGATG